TGGGCCCCAGTTCCACAGCTAGTCTCAAAGCCTGAGGCTTTCAACATCCTGGACTTCAGCTGCTGCTTTCTGCTGGGCTGGCTCTCCACAGGACTTCTCCCTCAAGCTGAATCTGACAGTAAGGAAACCTCTTGCTTAGGCCTCAGCGTCCCCCTCAGACCCTGCCCTTCCTTCCAGCCACCTGGTGTGTGTGACATAAAATGAGTTCAGGCCATGAGTTCAGCAAGGGTCTCCACTGGACACTCGTTCACTGATGCCCCTTGCAGAACAAGACAACTGAGATCTCGAGCCATCGCAGTACAGTGCCAGAGGGTCCCGAAAGGAATAAGCCGTTCCCCCTGTGGGTACTCGGTGTCATCTGTCCCCCACACATCCTTCGGGTCCCGGGGAAGATGTCCCTGACTCCTTGAGGCTGTCTTGGACACTCACTCGGGTGAGAACAGGGTCTGCATTTTGGGCAGTGTTCCCAGAAGGCAAAAGGCTGGTGGGGTAGAGCAGAATGGAGGAGCCCTCCCAGCACAGGGCGCTTGAGGGGAGGGAGACAGTGGAGGGGCTTCTGGAGTGGAGTGGCTAGAACGTGATGGGGTGCCGTGCAGGCTGCACATGGGTCAGTGAGGACACGGGGCACGTGTGAGGTTAGAGCCCGGAAGTGCATCTGCCTCTTGCCCAACCTAGGCTGATGATTTGGGGGTGCTCTGACTCTGCTTTTGTGTGGTGTCATTACTTCTAGTTCCTGCTGGGTCAGCACCTGCCGCTGGGCCATCTCTCCCTTGCAGATGGCTCCCCTGCCAAGGTCCCCTCTCCACCACCAATCAGCCACACACCACCATGCTCATTCCAGTGGCTCCTGGACACCGACCCTCTTCCAGACCAGATGAGGATCTGGGACAGGTGGGCCTGTTGTACTTCCCACTGGCCTCAGAAGGGCACTCAGGGAGATGGCGAGCTGAGGGACACTGTTCGGTCCCATCACTGCCCAATTCTCTGCCTCTCATTTGTACAGTGGGTGAGAGAATAGAGACCCCATTTAGACAACAGGAGGGTAGCATGGCATGGCCTAGCCTGGAGAGGCACTGATGAAGTCAATACAGGGCCCTCTCCCAAGTCAGTTTCTGTTTTTGTTTGTTTGTTTTTGTATTTTGAGACAAGGTCTCACTGTGTAGCCCTGCCTGGCCTGTAATTTGCTATGTAGACCAGGCTGGCCTTGAACTCACAGAGATCTGCCTGCCTCTGCCTCACAAGTACTGGGATTAAAGGTGCTCGCCACCATATCCAGCTTCCCTTTAATCTTAATTTGATAACAAGATCCTGGTACTACCTTGCTGAGGCTCCGAGGCATCAGGGCAATGAGCAAGGTTGTGTCTCAGGGATCCTCATGTCCCGTTTTGCACTGGACCTGGCAGGTACCATGGGTGTGAGGGAGGGGTCACCTTGGCTTGAGAGTGGGTGGTGGCAGAAGGCAGCAGGCTAGAGTGCAGAAGGCGACAGCTGGGGTCCTCCGGGAGCCCCTTCCAGATTAGTGGCACAGGAGTCAGTGCTTTCCCAAAATTAAGTATCTGGGAAGGAACAACAGAAAGTCATGAAAGCAGTGAGGCAGGAAAATGGAATTACGGCCCCAGTGCCATCAGGAGGGAGGAGAAGGCATGTGGGAAATTGGAGCTTGGGGAGGTAAGGAGAGGGTGACTGAGTGTGACAGGTGTGGGGAGAAGGAAACACCTGTAGTCCAGCTATTCAGGACCCCCTCAGCATGTCCGAATGGGCCCTCCTCCCAGCCCAGACCCGCTGCCCTCGGAGATTCTTAAAGGACACGCATGGTGAAGACAGAAATGCTGTAAAACTAGCAATGCTAAGCACAGCCAGGATTGCCACAGGCTGTGGGGGACCCGGGGGGAGGACTGGGCCAGACCAAGGCCTCACCACAAGGGAAGCAAGGGAGCTGGGGAGATGCTCAGCTGGGCAAGCAGGGGGATCTGAACCCCAAAACCTCCGTTCAAAGCTTGGCATGGCAGTGCATGCCTGGAATTCCAGTGCTGGAGAAGTGGAGACAGGAGGACCCCTGGAGCTTGCTGGCTGGCCCCAGTGAGTCCTGGGGTCACTGAGAAACTCTGCCTCAAAAACTAAGGTGGAGAGTGGTTGAGGAAGACACCTGATGTGGACATTTGTCACCGCCACACACACACACACACACACACACACACACACACACACACACACACAGCCACACATACATGCATGGAGAGTAAAAAGCCTAGAACGGAATATACCCTTTCTCCCAGCTCCAGCAGAATCCCTGAGGAGACCCAGCAGGTGTAACTCCTATTCTCTGGGTACCAGTGTTGGCCCTGCATCAGGCTAAGTGCTGGTGGGGGCAGCTGGCAAAGATGTCTGAGTGTGGGGGAGTCGTCCAAGGACAGGGCCGTGGGGAGCAGGAAGAACACACCAAAGGGGGAGGGGCTGTGGAGAATATGGACATGCCCATCGGATCAAGCTGTGAGGGGTCCTCGGCTCACCATGGGCATCAAGGTCCCTGGCGGAGAGCTACATGCTCACTCTGAGCCACCCCAACCAGGGAATCTGTCCTGGGTAACAGGCTAGCCTCAGTGAGACACTACGGAGGCCCCCTATTCCCATCCAGGAGTTTCCTCTTTTGATGAAGAAGGAACTGAGCCCTGTGTTGGCCAACATCCGGCTGCTGAGCCCGGGCATGCAGGTGGCTGCTGGCCAGCTCACATGTTGGGGGCCACACTGGGCACACAGGGCCAGGAGGTGTGGTCTCAAGCCAGGTCTGGTCAGATGCTGCACAGGTCTCTGGTGTCTGCAGCTCTTTTGCAGTCTTTCTCTATCCTGCCTCTTACTGTGTGCACCCCACAGTTCTGAGTTTGAGTTCTGGGCTCAATCAATACTCTTGCCTCAGCTTCTTGAGTAGCTAGGACCACAGAAGTGTGTACCCCTGCACTCAGCTTTTCCCTGGGAACTTTGTTTTTTTTTTTTTAAAGACAGGGTTTCCTGTAGTCCAAGATAACCTCGAGCTTACTGGGTAGCTGAGGATGACCTCGAATGTCTGATCTTCCTGCTTCCACTGAGTGGAATCACAGGCATGCATCCTAACACTGTTTCCCCTGGATATTTCAGAGGGATTTGACCATTTCTCCCACAAGTGCTTTCTTTTGTCCATAACTTTGGATACCTGACTGGTCAGCCACACCCAAGGTTGTAGGGGCTTCTGTGACGTCTTAGGCCCCAGTTTCTAAAGGGACTTCCTGCCCTCTAGTGAAGGCTAGATAGGGAGTGGGGGTTTGAAGGGAAGCCCTGGTCTCTCACTCTGACTTGGGAAGGATGCTTAGGGAGGGCAGAAGCTGGCTGGGGCGCAGAGGCGGGGGGGATCAGGCATGGGTGGGTCTTAGGCCTCAGATACATCGCCAATATGAGGGAAGTGGGACAGATGAAGGGCTGGGGCTGGGAGGTAGAGCGGTTAGAACGGAGCAGAGGAGAGGAGGGCCTGGAAGCCAACTTCTGCAGGTGAGGGACACCTCTAGGTAAGATAGGAGACAGGCTCTCAGGCCACCCCCTCCCGAGCAGAGGGTCCCTGCTGGCCATGGGCAGGGTTGAGCCACCTTGGAGGAAGTGTCCAACAGTCAGCGCAGAGATGTGCCCACGTGCCAGCTCAAGGTGGGCCACCATCAAACAGTGTGTGCTGGAGGGGCAGAGAGCACGCACGGGAGCCCACCCAGGCCACAGTCGGTAACTGGAGACAAGAACACGGCCGTTTCCCAGGCTCACACAAGCCGCCTTTCCCCAGTACAGGGCAGCCAGAGAGCCTCAAAGACGCCAGTTAACAGGTGCTCTGGGCAGCCTCCATCCTTGAGCTCCTTCACTTGAGCAGGCCTGAGAGCCACCTCGAGAGCTCAGAGGGGCTGGTGACACTGTTAGTGTTACAGCTAGTAAGGGGCATGTGGAAACCTGAGCAGGCTTAGTCTTACTTTGCTACAAATAACACAGGCCCCGGGCATGTGGTCTGCCGTGTACATGTCGCTGAGGGCATCAAGCAGGCTCTCTGGGAAGGTCAGCAAAGACTGTTTCTAGCGCTTGGCATGCAAAGTCAGCAGGCAAAGCGCAGAGAGTTGCAGCGTCTTTCGGGCCTTGCACCCAGGAGACTGGCAGACTCCAATCTCTGACCATGTAGCAGTTGGGACCTAGGCACCTGTGTTCCTCCCGAATCTTGAGAAGTCCAGCAGGACAGGCTCCAGACCAGCAGAGAATATGCCTGGTAGGATGTTCACTGCGTGGGGGAATTCCATGAACTATCTTTGCAGAGCGTACGTGGGTGTGTGTGAGCGATGTATATACTTAGGGCATAGTGTGGCACACGTGTGCAGAGGCCGGAGGTCAAAATCAGGTGTTATCTTCTCTCACTCACCACCTTAGTTTTTGAGACCAGAGGTTGCTGAAGCTGGAGTTCACTGCGTGGCTGGCTGCCTCACCTTCCACCTCAGCACATGCCACTGCACCTGGGTTTTTACGTGGGTCCACATGTTTGTGCACTTTGCCACTGAGCCATCTTGCCAGCCCCTCTTGAAACTTCTTGATTGGGGCGGGGGAGAGTGTCACTGGAGAGGTGGCTCAGAGGTTAAGAGCACTAGCTGCCCTTCCAAAGGTCCTGAGTTCAATTCCCAGCAACCACATGGTGGCTCACAACCATCTATAACGAGATCTGGTGCCCTCTTCTGGCATGCAGGTGTACATGCAGACAGAACACTATACATAATCAATCAAACTTAAAAGAAAAAAAGAAACTTCTCTGTGTTCAGTGTAAGGGCTTTTGAGCCTCAGATCCCAACTTCTGTCTCAAAACCTAGCTCCAGACAGGAAGAAGGCTAAGAGTCCAACCAAGCATGCCAGAGAGGATACCCTGGCTGGAGTATGCTGAGGGCCCCACAGGGAGGGACTGTCTGGCAGTGGAGGATGGTGTCCCAGGACAGAGTGGCACATGGAACCCAGCAGGGAAGCACATAGCTTTATTGTCATTCCTGATTAGAAAAAATGGGGCCAACTCCCAGTAGGGAGCTGGGGCTCTTCGCAGGTCACTGGTAGAAGGTACCAGCATGACCTGCAGCCCCCAGGGGCACAGCTGCCTCTTGATGCCAGCCAAGCCCAGGCACTGCGGCTGGACCCAGTGGCCACTACTGGAACCGACAGGTACTGATGGTTGTCCAAGGTCCCTGGGCTGGGGAACGGCAGAGGCAGCCGTCTCCAGGGTGACCTGTGCAGGCTCCATGGGATGTGGGGACACTGGGTATCAGCAAAGGGAGGGGTATATCCTGGTCCTTCTGGAATGTCCTGAGACAGAGGCCAGTGCTGGCTCCTCATCAAGCCCGGTCACAGACTTGCTGCATGTCCTTGGGTGGGCAGTGACTATTCTCTGAGCATTGGTTTCCGTGGGACTGTCCAGTTCTGATCTTCATGGCCTTGTGTCCAGTTCCCACATGCCTAGGGTGGCCGCCCACACAGCAGTCACAGCTGGATGGAAGTCTATCCCTGACCACGGTCCAGTGGTGGCCGGCTTGGGCTCTGGTGGCTTAGGGGAGTGCTGCACACGAGGAGAGGGATGCCTTGAGGGCACGGCAGTTGCAGGGCTCTGGACAGCTGGGCTGCTGGTCAGGTACCTCTAAGGATTCTGGAAAGACAAAAAGAGAGGCCTGTGTGTGGCTAGGCCAGCTAACAGTGCCCCGGGCTGGAGGGGCGCTGAGTCCATGCTGGTGACCAGCTTGTGGGCATCAGGACCTCTCAGCCTTGGGTAATGGTCTGCCCACCATGGACAAAAGTGCTGCAGCCCTTTCCGCAGTGAGTACACTGTTCCTTGTCCCTGTCAGGACTTAAAGGCCACACCCGTCATAGTGACAAGAGCCAGTCAGTAGTGACCATGGCTACCCACCTAGCAAAAAGCCACTACTGGCTGTTAGCAGCAGCAGGCCATGCAGTCACCAAGAGCTTGATGTCTCTGGAGACATCCACAAAGAGTAGAGGCCAGGAGGACAGGGGCTACGGTCCCACAGGCCTGGTGCCCTCTTCCTGGCCAGATGACCTACATCCCCATGGAGCATCAAGGACTGTGTTCAGGTGAATGTGAGGGCATGGCTGGCCCAGGACCCACCGCACTCTGCACACCTCCATGGCAGTGGCAGCAGCAGGTCTCAGCCTCTCCTCCCAACTCACCTGGGTGTCCTACTGCCGGGGTGCCACGTCCACTACAGGCTTCTGGACCCCAAAGGCTGTGATGAAGATGTTGACCACCACAATGATGAATACCAGTCCCGTGGCCAGGTTGTTAAGGAAGTCCAGCTTGGCGTGCTTGGCTGGGTTGTTGAGGTCATACTTGACTGTGGGGGAGAGGGAGTCGATGCTGTCCAGGGAAGCCTGACCTGGATGAAAGTGGCTAGGGCTCTTGGCCATATTCAGGGCTTTGTACCTTACTGAAAAACTGCCTGTTTTGCTAAAATTAGGCATGGATGTCCCTACCTACTATGTTCCCCATTTTCTCCATGAGGAAAACAAACCCAGGCAGGTTAAGGGTGTCGCTTCTGGATGCCAGGCCAGGCCAGGCTTTTTTTTTTTTTTTTTTTTCAAAGACAAGACCACTAAACTCCTCATGAGCCTTAGTCTATGGACCCTCTGATATACCTTAAACTCTGCCACTATATCCATTTCACAAGTACAAACTGTGAAGTCCCAGAAGGTCCCCTCACTGGTCCAAAGTCATATTGCCAGTAAATGGGGGGCTCTTGCTGTTTCTGATGACATCTTCAGCTCTGGACAGGAACCAAGGTCGCCCTGGTGCCCACTTTCCTGTCAGCTATCCTCCTATGCCTACGGTCACCTGTGGAGGGGACATTCATGATTGTGTTTGGGAGCTAGCTATCTGTGCCTATGAGAGGAAGCATGTGCTGAGGGGATGGTCAGTGATTTAAGTTTGGGAATTAGTGGTTAGACCCTGGACCAGAAAGAAGACTTGGGCATCCTGTCCATGGAGACAGTGATTCAGGTCCATGGTCACCTCTGGGCCCAGAATCATCTTGTCTCCAGACAATGACTCTCTTCATTTTCTACTCGAGTCACCTCCTTACCTCCTGCCCCAGGATCCCCTCTTCACCTCCCAAGCCAGAGTCCCTCATCACATCTTGACCCAAGGTCTCTTCCTTGCTTCCTAGGTAAGGGTCTCTTCTCTGTCTCTTGCATAACTTGGCTGCTCTTTGGCACTGGACACAGACAGCAGAGTCAGGCCTGAGCTGGTCTGCCCAGGCCCCCCGGCTAGGAGAAGCTATCTTGTGGCAGTGAGTCATCCGCAGGAACGCAACCTGCGCCTGTTCGACCTCACCGTGCAGACCCTGAGGACCCTAACCTCACTCGGCTTTCAAAGACGAGGGTCAGATGGAAGTGGGGTTGCGGGGGAGGGTGTCGAGCTGCAGCCTGGACCACAAGCCTGGCTGGCTACCCGAGGGCCAACTGGTGCAAACCGCCTCCACCCTCCCCCACCCCCGCGCCCCTCTACCTATCCCCGGGGCTGTGCGAGCAGCCATGGGCCCTACCCAGGAAGATAAGCAGCACTCCCACTCCAATCTGCAGCACAAGAGAGATGGAGATAAGGACCACAAGGGGCACGAAGAAGGCGAAGTCATGGCCCTGCTCCACCACAGCCTTCAGCTGCGACGCGTTGGCCATGAGCAGCGCGATGTCCAGCATGCTCTCCGCGGCGCTCTTCTTGTTGGCGTAATGGTTTACATTGATGGGCCGGTTCCTCCAAGCCCCACGGGCTGGCTGTGGGGAGCAAGGCACGACAGGGTCAACTTGGGGCTCTGGAGAGAGCTACAGGGAGAGGTCGGGACGGGGTTCCGGGGTTCCGGGCCTCCCTGGGGCTGTAGCAAGTTGCCAAAGCCCTTGCAGGGAAGGCTTCTGTTGCCCAACCCTGGCAAGTGCTCGTTACTCTAAGGAAAGTCCCTGGAGTAAGGTTCTGGAGAGAAGGAAACCAGAACACCAACCTCAGCACACACACTGGTCTCCAGCTGGGAAAGACCATGGCCTTCACTATCCTCTGCAGCAGGTACTCCTCCTTGCTAAGAACCCTAGGACTCCCCCACAACTCCCAGGGTACCAGGAAGAGAATTGAGGAGGGAGCAGACAGGTCCCAGCATGCTGGCCTCAGCTTGAATTTATCCTTCCTGGGCTGTGCCCAAATGTCTGGTCAATCCTGCCTTGGTTCACCTCCCAGCATCAGCCTCACGCACCTCAGTGCGAGCCCACACACACAGACGACACCCTTAGCTTCAACATCATCCTACGGGAGGATGGTCTGGTCACCCTGTTCAGTTACAGCTAGCTACTTGTGGATATGTGGTGCCAAGAACACACAGCAGGTGCTCAGCAGATGCCCCAGCACCCTGCATGCAGTGGAGCGGGGTGCCCGTCTTCATAGAATTGACAGAGATACAGTTCAGAGCTCCTTTAAGGGTACACAGCCCTTGGTGGCATCCTCTGTGCTTTTAGAGCTACTCCCCGCCACTCCCTGGAGGTCATTTCCCAGGTCACCTCCCACCTCTCATACGAGGCCCTGTAGGTCTCTCTCTACCCACCAGACACCCCCATGCTCCATTCTCCCTGGAGGCCCCTGACTCCCTTGGTGTGGGGCCTGGCCCTCTCCTCTCGGGAGAGGTCACCTCTCTGGCCAACCTGCTTCATTCTAAGGCACCTTTAAGTGGCTGGCTTCCTCTTTACACTGAGTCAGTCAGTTCTCTCAAGCTGCCCTGCTAGGGCCCCTTCTCAGCTACCTAGGGAGATCTCACCACACCTAGGCTTAGCCCATTGTCCACTGGTGCCCCTCAGCCATCAAAGCCCCGCACGGTAGCCTCCAGAGAGTGGGCATGGAGCTGAAAGAGGTGGCCAGGGCCTGCTGTTGGCAGCCAGCCCCCTGGGGCCACCCTGGCAGATCCTGTTTCTAGACTCATGAAAGATGCAGGGGATGGAGGAATCCTGCAGGCTGTGGGCAGGCAGCTACTGTGCTCTGCAGGCTGCAAAGCCCAAGGCAGGTGCTGAGCTAACAGAGCACAGGACCACTTCACTTAGAGTGTGTATCTTTAACCTGTTATTTCTTCTGTGTGGGTGTGTGGGTATAGGTATTTGTTGTTTTTTGGCTTTTTTTTTTCTTTTTCTTTTTCTTTCTTTCTTTCTTTCTTTTTTTTTTTTTTTTTTTTTGATACAGAGTTTCTCTGTGGTATAGCCCTGGCTGTCCTGGAACTTGCTCTGTAGACCAGGCTGGCCTCGAACTCAAGAGATCCTGCCTCCCTGAGTGCTGGGATTAAGGCATGCACCACTATGCCTGGCTGTGTATGGGTACTTGTATATAATTTCATGCGTATACGCAGTTGGATCTATTGAAGTTTACACATGCATGGAAGTACTCAGGTATGCATATGTGCGCAGTAATGTGCCTACGTGTGTGTGTGTGACATATGGGTATGGGCATGTGTCACACAACCCATACAAATAACACATATGCACATACAGATAAACACGCCTATACATGTATGCATACACAAACACAGAAAGCAGAACCTTTGATAGTTGATGAAGCAAAGAACTGGAAGTAAACAGCCCCAGACTAAGCTTGCTGGTCACTGGGCAGTGGGGAGAATTTCTTTCCATTCTGAACCATTTAAATACTTTGTGGCAACAAGGTCACAAGGAACAGAGATACATGAATGAGCTCCTTCACATCCCTACCCTCAACCTCTGCTCTCAGCATTCTCAGTCCCAAACTGAGTTCCCCTGCTGGCCTTGCTCACTTGAGCCCCAAGCTGAGGCTGTGCACAGGAAGGCCCTTCCCAAAGCCACGCAGTGCATAGGGGCCAGGCTCCAGTGTGAGCTCGGAGCCCTGGCAGCTGTGACCGTGAGGGGACTGAGTTCTCAGGGAGCTCTCTGTCTCTAGCTCAGGACAGCCAGTTTTGCTCAGCCTCAGTGTCTCGCTGTGCCACAGAACTTGTGTACTTAATACCATTAGATGGCGCAGAGCTCTAAGGACCAACAGAGGCCTCAACTCATGCCTCCCTCTCGCTCTGTAAGGTGATGATAGGGGCCTCAGGCTGAGGGACAGGCCCAATGGCAAAGCAGGCCACTGGATGGTGTTAAACTCTACCTCCTCACAGCCTGGCTCTCTGCCCCCCACGTCACCCCACCTTCATATCTGGAGCTGCCCTCTGGGAATCCTGTCTACCACTGAGTAATAGGACACATTACTCTCCTCTAGGGATCCCTATATGGGGTCTCAGGGGACCTTGTAGGCTACCTCCAGGGAGGGGTGGGGCCCAAATTTAATTCTAGGATGTGAGCTCCACACCTGGGGCCGCACACACACCACTGGTGCTCACCCTGGCAGGGTTCCCCTCCTGGGGTCAGATCCTGAGCCACGCGGGTGACTGCCACACAGGCCTCTCCTGGGACGCACAGTAGGCTAGATCTAAGGGTGGCTGGGCCCCTCAGTCAGACCAGGGAGTCCTGTGGGCTTAACTAGCTGCCTGAGCATGCTAGGAAACCCTTCCAGGCCTGTGCCAGTGACCTGGGCAAATCAGGGAGAAAACACACTGGTTAATGTGTGCCAGGGATGGCAGGAATTCCCCGAAACCTCAGCAGCAGCTGGGAACTGGCACAAAGTGGGCTGTTTTCCTTTGAACACTAGGAAGGATCACTGTGGGTTAGTCAGCCCGTACAGGGGGCTGCACTGGTGAGGGTCTCATCATAAAGCCCAGGGCCACCTGATTGTCTGCGGCTGAGGTGGGAGGGGAGTGGGCACCTAAGGGCTGGCTTAGCATAGCACTATGGGGATCTGTGCCCATCAGCCTGACCCACAGAGCAGGGTGCCACCCTTTACACACACACACACACCCGCCATTCCCAGTCTCACCACACCAAGGGCCAGTAGGATGACTGCTTATCAGCGAAACAGGCAAACAAGAAAATGCAGGGGGTTTCTTAAGGTGGGGCTCCGAGGCCTCTGACCTGCTGGGACACACTGCATCAAGCAGCTTGGCTAGGACGTTCCTTTCCTCAGTGTCTGGCTCTCCCCAGTGACTTTACTTCAGTCAGTGAGCAATACCAGCAGGTGAACACAGACACCAGAAAGAGAAAAGGCCAGGCCAGACACAGGTCTTCCAAGAGGCCAAAATGTTGTCCTAGGTGACCCAGTGGTCCAAGTCTAGATAGATTCTAAATAACCCCAACCTGGGCTGCTCAGAGGCCCTGTCACACACCAGTAGATGCTGGGGGTTACTGTGGCATAGGGACAGGAGCTGCGTGCCCACACTTTCGCCAGATATGGTGGGAAGCCACCTGTCCCAGCCTCCTGCCACCTAGCCTGCCCTGCCCATACCCAGGAGACCACAGTGTCTGCTACTTCCACATACACATTCCAGGCAGGAAGCCCCAGTGAGACAGCAGGAAGCACGGAAGGCGGTGTCCCCACAGCAACTGGGCCACGGGCTGGGCAGACTCACTTCCTGTGGCTCAGAACTGAGCAGGAGTGACCGAGAGGCCCACTAGGGTGGCCTTTAGAACTTGGCTAAGATCCTGACTGTCCCAGGATCTGCCAGGCAAGCAGAAACGAGGAAAATAGGAAGCTTCTAACAGCTGAGGCCAGGCAGAAGGAAGACCAGCGTGCAGGACAGAATGTTTCAGGAGACCTGACACAGGGCCATAGCTCCCTCAGCCTGGGTTCAGGGAGGGCCAGGAAAGCAGGGCAGGCACAACAGGGCTACAGCCCAGCTCCGTCCCAGCCACACCCCTCCTGCAGTGTCTAACACGAAGCAGCCATGGGCACTTCCACACTAAACTGGTGTTAACTGTTTCTCAGCTGCCAGGTAAAAATGAGCTAATTTACAAAAACTGGCTTAGTCTGTGAATACTAACACGGCCTCAGGGTAACTGGCTTTGGGCATCCAGCATGGGCATGGGCACAGCTTCCCTACTGATGTACTTGAGGGGACCAACCAGGGCAGCTCTGCTGAGCCTTAGCCCCCCTGGGAGGTACTGGTGCTCCTTTTTTCACAGGGGAACTGGAGGTCCCTTGGAGTCCTCATCCTGGGAGCAGTCCTATCCTTCCCACACTGTGGAGTGTCTCCACAGTGAATGCCATCATGCACTGCATTCTGCTACAAGCTTTTCCTTTACATGAGCCACACGGTTTTCACCTCGAGGAAACACTACCATGCCACCTCATAGATGACAAACGCCTCAGTTTATCTATGAGGAGGCATGACATGGCCTAGAAAGTTGGAGGTAGGATCCTGAGGTTGGGAAGGGGGACAGGGCACTGAGCAGGGCAGCCTTCAAGGCTGGCCACACCTCAGAGAATCATCCTGTCCCCAGTGACCCTAGGCAGACCCTCCTGCCTAGCCCTGCATGTTCTCAGAAACCCAGCCTCTGGTCTCCATTTGACCTGTTCCCTCTGGCCTGGGTCCTCTTCCACTCCCACCAGAGGGCCAGATCTGTGTCCCTCCAGCAAGACAACTTGAACAACTCCACCACACAGAGACCCTTCCCTGACCCCATGCTCCCTACCAACCACCATGGCAGGCAACGCAGCATACCCTTGAGAAGCTGACATAGTTGCTTTCACTCTCCTACCTGGGCTCTTCAAAGAAATTGTGCAAGGGAGGGGGAGGGATGATAGTGGGGGTGGGGTATCTCTGTCTCAGAGCCAAGACAGACCTCTGGGCACCCAACCCAATATCTCCTATGTATGTGCTCAGACTGCCCTTGTGAGGCACAGCTCACCCAGCTGTCTGGAGAGCGGAACAGACATAGGACTGAAGGGAAGGCACAGTGAGGCAAGGCCAAGGGTCAGAGACAGGCAACGAACTCCTTCAAACTAGCTTCTAAACCACCGGTCCACCTGCTCCTGATTCGAAACCCTTGTCCTTAAAGACAGAGAGAGATCATTGCTTCTTCCTTTTAGAACCACATACAAAAGACCCAGAGAGATGGAGGATCCTCCGGAAGGAACACAGCTCTCCCACAGTGTCCCTGGCCCACTGATCTCCAGAGTGTTCATGCATTTTTTGGCAGGGTCCAGGTCTCAGCTGGAACACATGAACAGGTCCCAAGCCTCTGGTGCTGTTTTCTCCTCTTATCTAGGGACAGACATCTGTCCTCCCACCTCTTGCTCCTCTGGTTCCTCTGCCCTGAACAACCCTGTTCCCAGGCTATGGGCCTGAATCTGGGCAGAAGGTCTCCGTTTCAGTCTATTTTGCACCTCGGAGACTTGTGGAAAATCCCAGCCGGGTGTAATTCCCCACCCCCATCCCTGGGGGGTCGGAAAAAGAAGGAATGTCCAAAGTCAACAAGTCACAGAGGGCCAGAGGGCCATGCAGGGTGGTACCAGTGAAGGCTGGGCCCTGGCGTGCTCAGGCCTGGCCCTGGAGGTAGACTACTACGAGGTGAGCGGTCAGGAAGGACAGTTCCCTCAACATGGACCTCCGACCACTGCCATGGCCTTGGCAGGCTAGGCAGAGCAAACTCCAGACAGGTCTTGGCAGTCCTAGAGTGGAAGCCCTGAAGACCGAGAGGGTGACGCTCTGTGTTTCACAGGCCGTGGCCGCAGCAGGGTATCCAGCCTCGGGTTTCCCCTACCACTGCCGCATGCGACTGTGTGGTCACTGAGTGTGACGTAGCTGTCTGTCTGGTGCTGGCCTCCAACCAGGAGGCGGTGGCTTCTCTCCCGCCCACCGCAGGGCACGCAGGAGGAGACAGCTCGGAGGCACTGGAAGTTGGAGGGCGGTGTGGGAAGCAGGAGAGTCCCGGGGAGCGGGATGCCAGCCTCCTCCACCCGAGGAGCGGTGCCAGCCCGACGAGGGCTCTGCACAGTGGGGCGACGGCAGCACGCTAGAGCACCCGGCGCCTCTGCCCACCTGCCGTGCTGGCCCCAGACCTATGGGACCACTACTTGCGCTCAGGACAGTTCAAGCACCACTTTGCCCGGAAGCAGCGGCCACCACTACCACCACCACCACCACCATCACCACCCCGCAGTGCGGTCGCCGCGCGTACAGGGCCCGCCGCCCACAGGTGTCCGCTGCCGAGCAGGGCCCAGAGAGGGCGGCGCCGGCCAAGGTCACACAGCAGCCGCGGCAGGAGGTGTTGAGGTCTTACCGAGGCGTCGGGGGAACCGGGAGAGCCCGGGCGCAGATCGCCGTTGAGCTCGTATTCCTCGGTGCCCGGCTCCATGGTACGGCCGCCCGGGCCGCCTAGCACACGGCCAAAGCGCGCCGGCGCCTCCGCCGCGGGCTACCGCTGTGCGCCCGCCCCCGGCCCGGCCCCGACACGCCCCCCGCGCGGGGCCGCCCCCAGACTCCGCCTCCACCCTGGGCGGGGCCCGGGCCTAGACGCCAGCTGCTGGAATGGCGCTGGACGGTAGCCCCTCTCGGACCTTGATGTCCCCAATTCCCAGGGTCCTTCAGGATGGCTGGGTCGTGTCCTCGCGGTGGCAACGGAAGGTTCCCGAGGACCCTGTCTCAAAGTCACTGATTAGACGCGCGCGCTGGGGAGGGAGGGTTCTGAGCTTTGAACGTGAGCACCTAATCTAATTATTAAAGTGAGGTGGAGGGCGTGCGCGTTGATGCCTCTTGGTGAAGTTTTTCCCTTGGACAGGGCGCGCCCTGAGGCTGTAAATCCATTCAGCTCGGTGCCTGCTAAGCACTCAGCCCAGGAAAAGGGTGTCGACAGTTTCTCTGAGCCACCTTGGCTTGTGGCTTTCCGCTCTAGGGCCCTCAGCTGTTTTGCCTGGAGAATGGAGATACTACTTGAGGACCTTCCAGCACAGACTAGAGGCCGGAGGGAAGCAGAGGGGATCGCTAATGGAGCAGCTCAGTGCTCAGGAGGAGCTGGCATCACGGCCCAGCTTGGACCTGGCACTCTGTGCTCCAGGGGTCTGAGCACAGAGCCTGCAGGCTTTGCCTCCAAGGACTTCTGTGTCTCAGCAGCGTGTCCTGGGAGCGCTCCTGGCCTAAGAAGCCAGGTGGAGTGTGAAGGGATGGAATGTGCAGGAGTTGAGAGTAAAGGGCGGCAGCCCTCCTTCCTCCGCCTCCACTCTCAGGCCCCTCTTCTCTGCATCGCCTCAGGGGTGCCGTGCCACCCTGGAGCATTCCCTCCTGGTGTCTCCTGCGCCTCAGAGGGAGTGAGCACACTGTGAGACTCTTAAAAAGATTAGCTGGGACCCAGAACGACTTGCTCTGTGGCCGAGTGGCTGACCATGTGTCTCTGCATAGGTCTCTGTCCCTCTGTCTGCTGCTCCCTTCCAGAAGGAAGAGGATTAAAGAGGTTAAGAAATGGTGCCTGCCCTGGTGGTGGTGATGGTACAGGCCTTTAATCCCAGCATTTGGAGGCAGAAGCAGGTGTATCTCTGAATTTGAGGCCAGCCTGGTCTAGAGCAAGTTTCAGGACAGCCAGGGCTTCACTGAGAAACCCTGTCTAGAAAAACAGAACAAGAATGAATGAAAAGAAAGACATGAAATGGTATCTGGGCTGGAGAAATGGCTTAGTAGTTAAGAGCGCTGGCTGCTCCCACATGGCAGCTCACAATCATCTCTAGCTCTGGTTCCAAGGGATCTGACATTCTCTCCTGGCTTCTGATGGAAATGGCAGAATGAGCTAATTGCAAGGCGAAGTTAAAGTATGCAAGCACAGGTTTATTGGACGTGGCTCTCGGCTACCACACAGAGGGAGGGAGAGAGAAGGAGAAGGGGAGAGATGCAGAAAGAGAGAGGAGAACGGGGGTGGGGGTACCAAAACATCTGGATCATAGAGTGAAGGGCCTCTGGGAGAAAAGAAGCCCCACCCTCCTCGGCTAGGAGATTCAGGGCAGAGGGTGGGGCGTGCCAGCCATGCCCTGCAGCAGAGAGGACCTAGGGATACCTGAAGCCAGACATCCCAGGCTTTTGTTGAATAAGAGATGGCGTATTAGACCATGACTGCTTCCGGCTGATATGAGGGGGCGGGAGCGCAGAAAGCTGGAATGTTGGCCATGTCCAGGAAGAGCAGGCTGATTGCTTGCTGTCCAGGGTCTGTGAGTCCATCTGTGGCTAGGAGAGTGCAGCCATAGCTTTTGCAGTCTTTGAGGTTTAGGCCGGAACACCTGAGAGTTCTGCATGCAGCCCTTGAGGAAACACCCAAACCTGACAGGATGCTGGACATATATACATACATTAAGGGAGGCAAGTGGATCTTATACTAACTACAGGGTTCAGCCTACCGAGTCCCCATCGGGCTGGACCTCACCCTGGAGCAGGAGGGGAGCACCCACCTCCTCTCAGTAGGCCTCATGTCATTTCTGCCACCTCCAGGCAACACCCCCAGATTATGAATCTGCTGATTAAGGCCCAGAGAGATTATCCCAGCCAGTGTGTTGCCTGAGGTGTTCTCTCGGGCAAGGTCTGACACTAGGCCTGTTTCAGTGATAGTCACTGTTCACCGCTGAGGTAACTGATGCCTCACTGACTGTGTGCCAGCACTGGAAATCTCCAATGTGTGTGTGTGTGTGTGTGTGTGTGTGTGTGTGTGTGTGTAGGCATGCACTTGTACTTGCTGCGGATCAAACCCGAAGCCTTGTGTAAGTTAGGTAAGTGCTCTGCCATTGGGCTACCTTGCCAGCCCTGCTGGAAATCCAGATCTGTAATGTGGACGCCAGCCATTAGCAGCCATCCCCAGTTCTTGGCCCCTTCCCACCCTTGTGGGCAGCACTGTCCATGGGGGCGGGGCTCCAGGAGGCAGGTAGGGAGTGTGTGAATTCTGGCAGGCTGCAGGCAGGCCCCAAGGCACCGTTGGAATCTGTCTGTCCTTAGAGCCCCCAGGAAACTCCAGCTGCGGGCCCTTAGTGCTGTTTCAGAGGACTACAGGAGGACTGTGGTGGAGCAGTTGAGCAATCACACTCTGTTTGAGCAAACCACTCAGTGTCCCACCCATGGCCTCAGGCAGGGCGTCTCCTCCAGCCTCAGTTTCCTCCTCCATCAGTGAGACAAAGGTAAGGCTGAGACACGCACGGCTTTGCTAGCTGGCTGCCCTTCTAAATGAGCCTGCAGAGGGGTTTCCAGTCTGCTGTGTCGTCCCTTCTTGCCTATGACATGTCCCTCTTCCCTCTGGGCTCAGGGGTGTTTTGTTTACCAGACTTTTCTCTGCTGGATCTGACCCAGGACAAGTCTTAAAGGGACAGCAGCTCCTGTATCCCTGCTCCCCATCTGCTCTCAAGGTCTTCAGGAAATGCTGAGTGGGCAAGACATACATACACAGCCCTCTCCTACATCCTGGCCCTGAGCAGATGGTTCATATGGAAGTGACCTCAGACGAGAATCAGGACAGAAAGGACCCAGAGAAGTGTGGCTGATCCCTGTGTGTACGCAGCCCACACAAACATGTCTGCATTTGTTTTCGTGAGGGCAATGGGTCTTTGCCAATTAGCTCAAGGCCATTGTCTCGGGCTATATCCTCAGCGCTGGGAGACTCTCATCACTCACGGCTGATAGAAGCAGGATGGGCTGTGCTGAAAACAGTTCACATCCCTGCCCCTGAACTGTGGGGCTTGGGGTTGTTCCTTAGCCGGCAAAACAAGAGTTCTCTAAGAAGGCATGTGTGGGCCCTGAGTTCTGTTTCCATCTCTCCCAATGGTACTACCTCCAGCAAGCAGCTCTGCCCTCCCAGCTGAAAAGTGGGGAGTGTCTCTGGACTTCGGTATTGGTTCAGTCAGTAAAAGGCTCACCTTGACAACATAAGGACCTGATTTCATTCCCTACAGTCCACCTTGTAAAATCTGAGTACAGTGGTTTGCGCTTGTAATCTCAACATTGGAGATGTGGGGACAAGCAGATTCCTGGGGCTCCCTGAGACGCCCACCAGTCTAACCTACTTGCTGAGTTCTAGGCCATTGAGAAATCCTGAAGAGAGAGAGAGAGAGAGAGAGAGAGAGAGAGAGAGAGAGAGAAGGTTGCCGACACCTGAGTCTTAGCAGGGCAGAGGATAGGCACAGGCATTATCACAATGAACACCGTGACACTTCCCTGTGGAAAGAGTGTAGCTGTTATCCTTGGTGATCCAGAGACCAACAGGCCTTTACAGGGAAAGTTGTGGCCTTCCCTCTTATGCATGGGCCCCAGGAACCTGGGCAAAATACTGTGTTCTGAGCCCCCATGCAGCACAGAGGTGTGGCTTGACTAATGTGGACACAGTGAAGACCTTTAGTGGCTAGACACCTGTGGGATGGACCGTGTCTTCACAAGCAGTCTTGGAAGCAACCACTCTCCTCCTCCCCGGCACGTTCCTGTCCCCAAGAGGCCTCAAGGCTGAGGTGCCAGTCCATCTCACAGAGGGAGAGAATGAGGTCAGGAGTGGTTGTGGCATGTCCTAGTGGCACTGTCCCTGCCCCTGCTAAGGCTGTCAGGGCACAGAGGCAGGAGAGTAGTGTTGCTTGGCCTTCAGCTTCACACTCCTGAGTTTAGCTAGTTAATTCTTCTTTCCTGACAACTGGGAAGTGAATGTCATAACAATTGTATTGGACCTCAGGGAGATCTTGATCAAGGGAGTCTTGCCTAGCAGAGCCAAAGACAGAAGCAGCCTGTGTTCCTGACAACTGGAGTGCTGGCTCTGGCTGGGCGGCCCCTCTCTGGACTTCCTAATGTACGGGAAACAAATCATCTTGTTTTGAAACTGCTGTAATTTGGTCTTCTTCTGACACCCATCAGCTGAACTCAGCCCTGGTTTTAAAATCTTCATGCTGGCTGGGGTGACAGAGTCCTCGCTTAGCATGCACAAGGCCTTAGGTTTGATTCTTACATCAAATAAAACCAGGAGTGCTGGTGCATGCCTGCAATCCCAGGAGAGAAGGTGCAGGCAGGAGTATTATAAAGGCCAGTCTGGGATACATAAGTTCTTGTCTTAAAAAAACCAAACCAAACCAAACAAAACAAAATCAAAAACTTCTGAAGCCTTGCTGGGACGGCCCTCCTATGCCTGTGAATACACCCTGCCTCTGCTCCGCTCTTCCTTTTGTTCCTTTGAGACCTTTCAACCTGAAGGCCAGTCTCCAATAGCTGCCTGTCACTTGATGGCCATGCACCTGTTCCCTGGGGACCTCCCTGCACCTGGGCATGAGCCTGAAAACACTGATTTGTGTTTGTACAAGTGCTGTGTGTGTCCCATCCTGACCAGCCTCTGGCCACAGTCAGCCTGGAAGGGAAGGGCATCTTAGAGCTCAGGTGCTGACCGTCCACTGCCTGGTATCTGCCTGGGGCATGGCCTGGCTACCTC